CGAGGGAGAGCACCTGTGGCCTCGCTACCAGGTTCTGACTGGTCTCCGTGCCGCACCCGGCTCCTCCCTTCCTCTTCCTCCTCCAGGTCGCAGGTCAGGTTGTGGTCCAGATTGCAGCCCTGTCTGCACACAGCAAGGGGGAGGGCAGGCGTGCAGCAGCCTTACAATCTGCCATTTCTGGAAGCCCACCAGCCCACCTCCACTCACATCTCATCGTAGACTACGGGCAGCCCAGAAATGTTGGCATTTCAGCCAAGCATGTCACAATCCCAGGCAAAACTAGGTTTTGCTTTGGTGTTGGCAGATGCCCAGAAGGCCCTCACAGTGAGTTCAGAATGTGCAGGACGCAGATGATGTGTATGGAGCCGCTGGCAGGGGCCACGCTGTCTCCCGAGCGTGCACGTCGGCCCAGGAGACGCTGCATCCCTGGGAGGTGGCGGCCGAGGTCTCAGGGTTCCACGGGTAGCAGCTGTGTACCTAGTCACCCCAGCGAGACGCAGCAGGTGCTTCCCCGCTGGACACGGACGGCATCTGCCCTCCTGTTGGAGGACTCTGGGGAGCCCACCTCCTCTGGAAAGCAGAGTCTTGCGGGGAGAAGCTGTCCATGTCAGAGCAGGCCGACACCCCGAGGAGGCAGGGAGACGCCACGCCCGCAGGCCCAGCCGCGGACGCCCTGTCCCACGGGGCAGAGTGACGGGCTCCAGTACCCTGACCCGAGTGTACAAGTGTGTTCAGGACCTCGTGGGCCTGGTGGCCGGACCGGGGTGCGCCTCACTCTTCTGAAACTGGTGGCCACGTGACTGCAGTCTGCTTCCGTCCTTTCTGGGGAGCCTGGGACTTGCCCCTTTGCGAAGTGGGCTGTCAGCTGCCGTTGACTCAGCTCCTGGAAGTCCCCTGTACGACGAACACGCCGCCCAGTGCCGCCATCCCATCACCGGGTGGGCATCGCACTGCTGTGGGCCACGGGGTCTCCGTCTGCTAGTTTCAGAGGCCGACCCCCAGGCCTGCCTTCCTGGTCTGTCTCAGTCTGGAAGTGCCCCTGAAACCGGTTCAGCTGCCTGGTGACATGCGAGCCTCTGCCGCCAGACGACGGTGGTTGTGCTCAAGGTGCACGGGCCGGGATCGAACCCGGGACTCCTGCAGGGAAGGCACGGATTCACCCACGGAGCCCCCGCTGCCCGCTACCAAGTGTGACTCCAAACAAAGCCAAACTCAC